TCTTTCACTGCTCACAACTCGACAGATTGAATGAAAAATCTATCAAATTTATAAAAATTTCGATCAGAATTTGCCAACAGAAAGAGAAGATTTTTTATATGCACCGGACCTTGGTCTCTTAAAAACGCTATTAGTGTTAAAAAATTAGGCGATGGAAGAGTCACTGAAAATCACTTGGTTAAATTTTTTGCAAACAAACCATCGAAGTCTTGTTTTTATCATGTAATACCATATAACAGCAAATGTTCGAACACAATAAAGTTTTCGAACAGTTCCTCGAGATTCGAGCGAAAGAATACTCAGGCATTTAAATGCTTGAAGCTTTAGACAATTCAAATAATGTTTGAAATACTAGTTATGACCCTATAATCATCAGGAGCTATCGTAAGAAAAAGCAGAAAAAACAAAAAGATTTAGATAATATAGATCTAACTAATTTAGGTTTAATACAAATTGTTTATATTTGTAAACTAATAAATATAAAATATTAATTGAATGATTATATACTCCGTAGTTTCTTAATCCGATATTTTCTTAAAGACATTTCACTGCGTGGCACACGGGTATTTCAAAAACTTCAACCGGATAACGAAAGATTATTTTTTCCTATATTTTTCTATATATTTTCTATATTTTCCTATATACGGCATAAACTTTCATTGCAAGCGTGATAACATTTTACCTAAGGATATATAATTAAATCAAAAATTTTCTTAATCTGTTTAGCTTTTGCTGAATAAGAGTCCTGCTCAGTTTAATTAAATGTCCTTCTAAATCATTTTAATATTTCAATCAACTGTACTTGTTATGAATTTAAGTGATTTTTTTTGTCTCTTATTTCTGCTATATTGTAATTTTGTAAAGATTTTTAGTTTTTTTCTAATAAATAGGCAAAAACCCTACTTCTAAATAATTTCTAATTACTTCTGTAGAGAAAATTTTCAGCACAAAGTACGATTCTAAGTCATATTTGTTTTAACAATTAGACCTTTTTTTATAAGAAGAACTTTGGACTAATATATTTCTATTATAAATTTTTTTCAACATTCACATATAATGAGTTTATGTAATAAAAAATAATTTTTTTTAACGATGAGAAATGTTGTGGTTTTAGAAAATATACAATAAAATCTGTTAAATGTGTGTATTTATAATTGCATTTTTATCTCGTACTCCCAATGAGATATCTCGAAGTCTTGCAGCTTTATAACCAAAATCCAAGCTTCAATTGTTTATTTGCATCAAACGCCACATGCATTTCTATATATTTTTTATAAGAATTCTTCTGTGAATTTTTAAGAAACATGAACTTATCTTTAAACAATAGACACGTCAAAATAATGTCATTTGCTAAAACAATGCAATTCTTCTCATAAACAGTCATTGCTTTAATTATAGATGCACTGGAAAAAAAAAGGTTTTTGCAATTACAGATCATGTTTTAATAAGTTGATATGATTAAACTTGTAATTATTTTTTTTAATTTAAATTACAAATGTCAACTGATGCTGACATAATATAAAACAACTTCCTAAGAATATATACCTACACATTATACAACACCAAATCTTCGTGAGTAAAACATATTTCAATTTCAAATATGTTTCATTTTTTAGAAAAGAGACTTTTTTTGCTATATTTAATCATTTTATAAAGTTTAAAAACTTAAAACTTTTTTTGCAACAATTGAAGAATGTTGTCAATATCATAAAATAACAATGACTAAGAATAAATAAAGTGGAAATAATTATTATACAGCATTTAAAATTTATAATCATTTTCTTTTTTATTCCCCTTCCTCCTTTCACTGTTTTTATAAATTTAAACTTAAATATGTATTTTGAAATAGTAAAATAAAGTTCAAAATATTCCCAAGTATACTTCTTCATCTAAACAAATGGCTCAAAATTAAACTTCAAGCTACTTAAGCAAATCATCAAGCAATTTTCTTTGAGTTTAAAGTATAAAGTTCTACTGAATAACAGCACCATTAAGTCATTTAGATAATTAGGTGTCAATTTTGTGGCAACGCCAGTGAATGAATTAATTGTAGAATCCCTACAAACTGTTCAGTCAAAAATTTTAAAAATTAGAAACATCGCAAAGACTTTCCAATATCTATGGTAAAATTAGAATTCATCAATATAAAGAAGAAGTGTACATTAAGAGAAGCCACATACCAATCTTAGCCCCTCAGACGAATAACTTTCTATTTTGAGAAAACATTTTCATCCAGCCATAAAGCTGTAATCATCCTTACTCAATTTAAGATTTATATAAAGATATAAGTATTATATATATATATATGTATATATATTTATTTTCATTTTAAATTTCATTTCTACATTATAATTAGTGAATCTTAAATTAATATATAAATAAATATAATTAAAATAGCGATTGTGACACATGTCGTCCGTCGACTTATAGTATAATAGTCGTATTATAAATAGTTGTATAATAGTGAGTATAAGAATAAACTACACGTTATACACGTTATAAATAATAGATGAGCTATAAAATATATATTAGTTATTATATTCTAATATTAAATAAGACCGATATGCTATACAATTTTTTACATATTCTACTACTTTTGCCCATTCTATTATATATATATTAATATATGTTATAGTTAATTATATTCCCTTATCTTTGTGCTTTTTTCTTTTGTGCAAAAACATCATCCTGCAGAACCTATTTATAGACCACGTATATTTTTAATTCAAATCCAAATCTGTTTGTGTAGGAAATTTCTTTTAATTAACTTGCATTTATTTAAAAATAAAAAATTTTAAGATTTCACAACTCATTATTAGTCTTTAATCATAAGGGAACATTAAAAAAATAATAACTCTAATCTTGTACATTAATTATTACTAGTTTTCTCTTCATAGATCCACTCTTTCAATACTTTATTAGAAGATACAGTCTTCTTTTGAGTCTTATTTGACTTCTTTTATTCCTGACTGACTAATACTAAACCATTTTATTTTTATTTTCTTAGACCAATAAATAACTTACTCTTTTATGGCATTGTATTAAAAGGCACTCTACACGTTTATATATTTAATTAAACATTATTTTCATAAGTACATCCCACATATATAGTTCCTTATTTATTAATAATATAATTCATCCCACTCCAAAAAAAAAAAAAAATCAACAAAAAGTTTATTTTCCAATAGAAATTATCAACAGTAATGTTGTAATCACCTGGAATCCCAGTAAAAAAAGTACTTCTTTATTAATCACACAAGTATAGAGCTTAAAAAAAATAATTTCTTTAAACAACTTGAATATTTTAAAACTCTATTAACACTCTTCGTCATCCAACTTTAGTCAGTTCAAGGGGGTTTTCCACAAAATAAATTAAATTGTTCCAAACAATTATAAAAGTAATTTCATTTTAAAAATTTAATTCGCTCAAAAGGGGTATCCTTTAAAGTAATGATAGTAAACATTCTCATAAATGCTTTGAATATATTTTATTAAACGTTAATCCAAAATGGTTATGTTAGTTAGGTAATGCTTATTTGTAGATTAATATATGAAATTATTAACAAAAACCTAAGTATCTTAATAAAACTTTATATTAGGAAATATAAAAAGTACGCGCCATTTTTTGTCACTAGATGGCATATGGATAGCAACCCATGTACCTGACAACGATAGTCCGATTATGTCAAATGAAAATCTGTTTAAAAGATTACACTTCAGGCTCAATTTTTTGTGAAGAAAGTTGTGTAATTCATGGCTTATGTAAAATGTTATATTAATTTAAAAATGAGTTAATTATCGGAAAGAAATACGCTAGGTTAGGCTTTATTACTCTAAAAAGGTGATACTGCTACATAAACAAACTGGACCTGAAAGTGATGTTCTCTAGCCTATTCCAAATATTTCGATAATAATATTCATGTCGCATATTATTATAACATTAAAAAACTTGATCAAATTTTGCAATTGCAAACTGTCCTAATATAGCCAAAACATTAAACATTAACCACATTAACATTAGTACTACATAAATTAAAAAAAAGGAAATTTGATTTACCGAGTTACCATCCAAAAAGCAGTTGTAATCCATCATGACAATGCTAGGCCTTACACATCTTTGATAATTCAAAAGAAATTGACAGAACTGCGTTGGGAAATTTAAGTATAATCACCGTATAGCCCGGACCATACACCATCTGATTTCCATTTGTTTCAGTCTTTATAAAACTTTCTATATGGTAAAAAATTTATTGACCGAAGAACCGCTCAATAAATAACAGATTTTCTAGACCGATGGAAATTTGAAGTTACTCGAAAAATGGCAAAAGGTTATAAATAATAATGTTCTTTAAACTATAATGTATTGTACTATAAACTATATAATAATTTCAATAATGAAAATTATACTTAAAAAATTTACCAAAAAAGGCGGATAATTTTTAAATCATCCAATATCATATCTATATTCAATTTTTTTAAATACTTCATAAAAATATTGCTTTAAAAATTTTTAAACTTTTCATTTTAATCACATTCAAGTGCTGTATCTGTTTACATCCGTATAATGGCACATCGCCCAAACCATCATTCATGAAGCGAAATATGGGACACAACTGCGAAACTCTAAGACAGATGAGCATAAAAAATTATTCAAGCTATAAATAAAAAATGAACTACTTGCCTGTGGCTAAAAAGTTTACACATAAAACACTCAGTAACACCGGCCGGCAAAAGTACGAGTTTCTGCCTTTTCTGTATTCCAACTCATTTAAGTGATAAGTTCTCAGTTTAAATAGAACAGGAAAAAAACAGAAGTGTTTGCATAACACCATTTTCAGTCAACATTTCTGGCAGCTTTGTGTATTTTGCCATATACATATTTTATTAGAATCATTTTTTTTTTAAATCTATTTAAAGTCTAGCATCAAAATTCTATTTATTTAATCAAAGCAAATGAATTTCAACAAATTGTTTAACCTCGTATTTACTTTATTTTACAGATAATGACGTGGAAAATGTCTTAACGGAATCCCAAGCATTGGTCATGAGTGCATCTCAACATCGTCAGCAACAATTGATAAATCAACATATGCTTGAATCTCAAACTTCTGTAAGCAGTGCGACATCTATACAAACAGTACTACATCAATCCTTTATGAGTGCTACTGGTTCGTCGCCTAGTAAAAGTCTTCACAGTGCTTGTAATAATATATCATCGTTGCAACAAGTATCGGTGATAAGCAATACTTCGAGTAGTTCAACAAGCTCATCACAAACAAATGCAAATCCTCAGAGTATACCGTATGCTACAGAGGCTTTGTCAACAATACGAAATCCTACTGAGAACATAAATTCATTATTAGAACATATAAGTCCATCGGCACAGGCAGCAGTTATGAGTGGTGATGGCGTTTTAAATATTGGCGATGTCGCAGATTTATTACATCCACAACATGCTATTATAACAGGTATATAATAAACGCAATGCATATACAGTAATACCCCCTAAAACGCGGTACCCTTATAATTTGTTTTTATATTACGCGATTTCAATCCCCCGTACAGTACGTACATTCCCCCATATAACGCGGGGATTTGTACAGTTCATAATTAGCTTCGCGTACCTTTGCACGTGTATATACGGTGTAAACGGGAATACCCGGACCTTCTGCCCAAAAAGTACTCGAATTTTGTAAATAAAACACACAAATTTAAATTTTATTCCAAATTTATTTTATCTCCTTCAAAATATGCTCCTTCTGAAGCGATACACATATGCCAACGCTTAATCCAATCTTTCACACACTTTTCGTATGCCCGTAAAGGTATGGCTTTTAGTTCCTTTAGCGAATTCTCTTTTTCCGATTCAATCGACTCAAAACGCTTACCACGAGGGGGCAATTTGAGTTTTGGGAACAGAAAAAAGTCGCACAGATTCAAATCTGGCGAATATGGTGCCTGAGCGATGACAGTGGTGCCATGTTTAGTCAAAAAATCGCGTACAACAAGAATTTTCCATAGTAAAAATCGCTAAATGCACTTGAGGTAGTTTCACATTAACAGCTGCTGTAAACAATTGACAGATGGCGCTCAAATTTATACCGTATGTCAAGAAAGGGTGTACCAACATAACAAAAAAAATGTTTGAATAAGGTCTATTACTTAAGTAATTAACAAACAACAAAATCCGGGTACTTTTTGAGCAGAATGTATAACGCGTTTTTCTATAACGCGGGACCAATCTTCCGCGTTATAAGGGGTTTACTGTATTAATCAATAATAATTTTAATATTAATAAAAAAAATTAAATAAAATTGCATTTCGTTTATAGGTGGCCGTTCACAGGAAGGATGCCCACTTATCATATTTCCTGATAATAATAATTTTCTGTCATTGGAAGATGCGGATTATCAAAAACTTATTCTATATCTTACGTCAGTGCCATCGTAAGTGTGAAGTTTTATGAATCAAATTTTTTGTAATTAATATTTAATATATTTTTTATTGTAGACTGCAAGATGCTGATCTCGGATTTCATTTAATAATTGACCGACGTAAAGATAAATGGACATCAGTTAAAACGGCACTTCAACGTATTTCTGTATGTTATATTATTATAAAAAATTAATATTAAAAGAATTTTTTTATTCAATATATTGCTTAATTTATAAGGAAACTAGATTAAATTGTTGATAACTTGAAAACTCCATTAGACATTATGGAATATACCTAGCAGAGTATATAAATTATATATTCAGGATATGATCCATATTCTAGTACCGTCTCTGTAGGCTTCAGCTACTCTTTTCTACTATTGACTTATTATCATTTCTAGTATGTTAGGAGTAAATGTGTTGATCTGAAAAAATAGAGTTAATATTATATAAGGTCCTCAACTTATGAGTACTTCTACGCTCATAATTATCACTGAAGATTTATCATAAATAATAGTATATGCAACTTAATTATTGTGATAAATTTTGTAGTTTTTTCAATAGTGCATATTTCATATAATCGTAAACAATGTATGACTGTTTGTTTAATAAATTTGAAGAGCAGAAATAAAAATCAAGATTTAAAGTAATTTCAACAAACGTTGAATTTATGGATCACATTTTTGTACTGATTTTCCAGAAAGTCTGCTAAATACCATTCTCTGGATGCTTTTGTCTATTCAGTTGTTCAAAATTTTTCTCAAGTAGGTTTTTTGAGGTTAGAGAAGATTTAGAACTTGAAGAGAACTTAATTAGATATAAAATTATATATTTTATATAAATATATTATATTAATATATTGTAAATATTTAAAATAATAATATTTATTATTATTATTGATATTGCCAAATACCAATCATCAGTGGTTTCTGAAAATATATCTTTGATGTTAGCTCCTACATAATTTACCAATTTCACATCTAATTGGTTTAAATCGTCAGACTAACTATTTTTAGTTTTTTTTTTTTTTGAAGTTTGATTTTGAAGTTATATATATATATGGCAAAGACCAAAGTATCCTGCGAAACAGGTATGCGGGTCAAAAAAAACGAAAAATTTGCTAAAAGTTAATCATTAAAGTTTTAGTCCAATAAATATCAATTAGTTTAATTGCAAATTTGTTACTCTGTTTGAATGGGTTTAGATATAGTAGGGACTGAAACATATTATATAGGTATATATATATATATAATATATAAAATGCTTAATATATTTTCTTTTCTAGATCTACTTTCCTGGAATTATACATGTCGTATACGTTTTACGCCCTTCTGGTTTATTCCAAAAAGCAATATCTGAAGTTAGTACAAAATTTTCCAAAGATGAATATCGTTTTCGTTTGGTTATATGCTCCGCACTTAACGATTTACATGAATATATTGATAAATCACAATTAACTGTGGATATGGGTGGAACACTAATTTACTCACATCATGAATGGATACAACAGCGAATAGTAAATTATTATTTTATTTAATTTTATCAAAAAATATATATAACTGAAAATGTGGTTTTTTTACAGTCCCTGGAAAAATTTTCGAGTTTAACCCATCAAGTTTCCTCAGAATTGGATATTTTCATACAAGCCATACATGATACAGAATTTCCAAACTCAGTTGAAGCTACACAAAAACTGCTGGATGATCAGGGTGCAGATTATGATCGTTTAAAGGTTTTAAATTAAAATGTTTTTATTATTTATAAAAGTAATAAAAAAGTTTTAATTTTAAAGGAGGAAATTCTTGCTGCTGCTAAACACGGTGAAACGCTACTTAATAACATTAAATCAAACGATGAATTTAAAGAGTTTTCAGAACGTACTGGCAATGTTAGCTCTATTGAGCGGTACGTAATCATTGTATAATTTAACTCATTCCATTTGCTTTTAGTTAGTTTTAACTAATTTAATTTTGTGGCGTTTGATTAATTTCTAATACTAACAAAAAAAATGCGTAACGTTCTTTGTATCATCCAATCATACTCTAATCCAAAAATCAATCCTTGTTCTAAATCCATAAAAGTCTTTTATCTAAAATGTTAATATTTTCAATTTATTATAGCTCTGCACTGGTTTTGTATTCTTAAGTAATTTAAGTTCATTTTCTTAATATATTTAAATATTTAATAAGTTAAATTTTTTTAAACAAAAATTAACTTATTAGTTAATGCCTTACTTTGTAAAATATCAGATATCAAAGTATCATCTTCATTTTATATGTTTGTTTCATTTTTTGTATTATAAAATTTATGCTTAAATTAATTGAATTTAATTAATTTAACTCTTCAGTTGCAAATTGAAGTTGCTTTATGCAAAAATTTATTATTTATACAATTAAGAAAGATGTTCGAATTTATTATAAAAATATTAAATTAGATAAACTTTCGATTTAAATTTCTTAGTTGTGTTAACAAATTTTTTAGAGTTCAGATCTTTATTATTTAAAATGTAATAATAGTGTTAGCTCTTGTTCAAAAAAAGCATGAAGTTTTTTTAAATTATTTCAAAAAATATTTTGTGTTAGCTTATTTAATAATATATAAATATATATATATATATAAAGTGGAAGCTGTTATATTTTTGGCAAATTCTTTACACAAAATTCCATTCTTAGTTTTTATACTATATATAGTTCGACAGCTGTTTACTAAATATATAAATAATTTAATGTTGAATATTGTTCTCACGTCTCCTATGTTGCATGTTTGTTGAAATATGTTAATTATATTAATGTTACAAATGTATCCTTGAAGTTTCTATAATTTTATGAACGTATCAAACAAACACCTTACACATATATATTTACATACATCACAACTTAAAAGTTAAACATGTGACTCTACTTTTGCAATGAAATCCCTTTATATGTATAGTATTGTTATGAAGCCTCTTAAAAAGTTGTGTTTTCTATTTATCAAATTTTAATTTTCAAAAATCATTTTAATCATTTTTCAATTAAAATAATTAAGCAAAAAAAAAAATTTAAGATATTTTCTAAATTACTATTAAACTAGAATTATAATTAAAGAACACAATGAGCTAGTAGGCTTTGGTGAATCCTCAGGATCACCAATATAACCTATAATTAATGTAATTTATATGTTACATTATTTATAGCAATCACAACATTAACGTAACAAAAATTTGTGAAAAAAAATTATTCATAAAAAATTATTCATATCCATAAAAAATTTATTAATATGTAAGCTAACAAATATGATATTTTACCACGACAAATTTAATATGTTTGAGACACCTAGTCTTAGTATTTTTAAGGAACTTAAGATTAACAACAATACAGCTTTAAGTAATTAGCTTAACTCTATGTTTGGATACGTCTCAACTGAGTAAAAAAATATTGCGTATAAAATATTGCCACTTCTATTTACAAATCTTTATTGAAATGGAGCAAAATGCTGTGATTTTTAAAAGTTTTGATACTATGGGAAAGATTGAAGTCAATTAGCAACCTAAGGATTGGACCTCATCAATGTGGTTTCAGACCTGGCAAATTCACCCTAGACTAAATATTTCCAGTGCTTTAAACTCTGGAGAAGACCCAAGAAAAGCAAATCGACGTCACATATTTGTCGATTTTAAAGCCACTTATGACACTACGACTTGATGCACTCCATGCCGCTATGTCTGAATTTAATATACCATAACTTATATATAACTTATACGGCTATGTAAAATAACGTTGAGCAACACCACCAGCGTCTTTAGAATTGCGAATAACCTCTCCGAGCTGTTTGATGCCAAACGAGATTTCAAACAGGGTCACTTCTTGCCGTGTGACCGCACTAACACAATTTTTTATCAAAGTGTACTACTGGTTTACGCCAACGATATTGATATCGCTGACCTGAACACCTACATAGACAAACAGAAAAATAAGCAAAACAAATGGATTTTGTGGTATATGAGGACCAAAGTACTCCTGTTCCTGAGCGTCTTGGAGCTGACTACTCTGTTGATGATTATTTCGAAGTGGTGATTATTTGAAACCCAGCGTAAACACAAAAATAGCTATAGACCAAAAATTCAACGAAGAATCACTCTTGTCAATAAATGTTACTTTGGGTTAAGAAGGCAATTGAGAAATAAAGCCCCCTCTCGACAAACAAAAATCACGCTCTACAAATCCCTTTGTGGACTGTCCTGCTGTATGGTGCAGAAGCTTGAACAAGAGTGTTGAGAAGGTGTCACGAGCATTCGAGAGAAAAATTCAAAAAGTTGATAGTAAAAGAGGACTATAAAAAGTATCTGTTTCAATTTTTGTACAAGATTTTATAAAAATGGATCAATGGTTCTTTCTGAAAGTAGCAAAACGTAATCCAAAGAAATGTTTAATATTTCAATTAAGAAAAGAATATATTTTACTAAACAAGACTCAATACTTTTTCCTTTATTACTAACCAATAGATATGATATAAAGAATGCTTCAGCTATTAGGTTTCTTTTCGCTACCATCAAATGTAATCAAAATAATTTAATTAATTATGGTTTATTAAAAATCATAGTAGTAGTTTTTCTATGTGATAAAGATATTGATAAAGAGCTTCCATATTTTATCTTTTTGCATATAAATTTATAAAAGTCTACATAATAAATGATACTTATTAATTTCTTCAAATCTCTTATTAAGTGTTTTTACATATCAGTATCAGACTTAACAACTTTATGCATTTTGACATATAATAATTTATGGATTATATTGATAAAATGTACTCCAAATATGTAAATTTTGTTTCGTACTGTAAAATATAAGAATAAAATCACAGATTAAGACTTATTGTAAAAACAAAAAATGTCTACTTCAACTATAAAATCCAAACATTCTAACTATTGTTCCTTTAACTTAACTTCTTAGCGTATCCGCATAATATCTGACTTTCTTAAGCTTAAAATCATATATGAAATTTTGGGAAACAAGTGTATTTTAAGTATAATATATTTATTAATTCCTAAGTATTTTAATAAATAAGTAATATATGTAAATTTGTAAAATACACAATATATTTTAACATAACCGAACTTTTGTTAGCATAATAAACATACACTCCTCCACAATATTAAGAAGGGATATTTGAGGACACTTTTCCACACTCTAATTAATATACTCTCACAAAAATATTTATGTTAAGTTGAGCACCAGACACATTTAACCAAACTAAATACAAATGTCAATTACACTTACTAATAATAAATGACTAAATTTGTTAATTTAAAAGATTAAAGATTAAATAATATAAACAATACAGCTATAGAACTTAATGTTTCTCATGTTCATCCAAACGTTTTTGTCTTCCACTTTTTCTTGTATTTACAAACGCATTTTCAAATCTAAACTAAAAACCAAACTATATCGTAACGCGACGAAAAATATGTGCTATTTACACATAAATTTTCGTAAAATCTATAACTATATGAAATACAAATATGAAACAAAACAATAAAAAAATGCAGACCCAGTGCAGGGATCATTACTCATCGCCAACAAATAATTTATCATCATCAATACAAATTAAAAAAACCTCCATACCATTATGATGATTGTCGCGATTATCGTAGACTACTCGTACAGTTGGAGGAAACCGAGAGACGTTTCGATGAATTCTGGCGTACACATCGTAATCGCCTAGAGCAATGTTTGGCGCTAAGAAAATTCGAACAAGATTTCCGAGAAGCACAGGTAGGAAAATTAACATTAAACTATACACAGAATGAATTTATAGAATCAATAACTAATATTTATTTGCTTCCAGTATATTTTTAATGCCCACCTAAAATGTGTTGCGGAAATGACTGAAATTGGTGAGAGCGTAATACGTGTGGACTCACTTATACAAGAAACTGAGGAATTTCAAAAATTCATTTTTGCTGATGTGCAACGCGCTGTGGATATAATAGAGGCTGGACAAAAGCTTATCGGTTTACGTGGTGTTTATCCATGGGAAATTGTACAACCGAAATGTGATGAATTACAGCGCGTTTGCGATATAATTACGGAACGCTTAACGAAACGTTTAGAAATACTGTCAAAGAATCGTGAACTTATGGAAAGAGTAGAAAAGGTTATGTTTATTTACATGCGTAAATGATTATTAATACTAATGATTAATTATTTATAATTTCAGGCTAATCAGTGGTGTGCAAATGGTGTGGAGTTATTGGCTTCACAAAAAATTGAAAAATGTTCAGTTTCTACAGAACTTGCAGAGCAAAGTTTAAAAGAAATACAAGCTTTTATAGCTTCAGCATCTGAATTTAAATTATCTAGTCCAAGTGAATTCAAGAAAATATTTTTAGAAAGTACAACACCCGAAACCAAAGCTTTAGTATCTCAGGTAAGTTTTAAAGTAATTTAAAAGTGTTTATACTTAATTTTTATACCTATTAATGTCTTATATCCAGTATTAATATGAAATAAGAAGTTTCGAAATACATGATTGTCGGCTTGAAAACCATGTTAGGATAACAAATATTCTCTTCCCTTCGCTTTTTTCATTCTATAAGGAAAGAAGTGCTTCTATTCTGCCTTGACGTTACTCAGCACACGAACAATCCATATTAAACTTTGCCAACTGTATAAATTTTTATATTCTTAAATTTATAGTGTAGTCCTTTCTTAGCGGCTTTCTGTCTTCGTCCTATTCAACAATGTACTAGGTACCAAAACATTAGCAAGATCTTTCGGTATCTGTGCATGGTTTTGTATTTGCATGTAAAAACACAAGATTAGAGGAATAAACTGACATGTACCTTTGGTTTTTATTATATAAAAAGCAAAAGTTTGGGCTGTTTGAATCGTGTTAACCTTCCGAAATTCGTATCAATACAATAAGTCAGCTGAAATATATTAGTAGAGTCACCACAGTTATCTAAGAGAATGACTTATCAATGGCTTAAATAGTTTTTGAATATATGTTATTGTCTAATTAAGATAAATTAACTTAAAAAAAATTTTAATAAATTAAACATCGTCGTTATGCCAAGAAAGGTATTAACTATATGTTGTAAATTTTCTAACTGTTTTGATTTCTTAAACCGATTATTTCCAAATCTTAAGTTTAAAATTATAATAAGTGTAACTTTACTTAGATCGAAATATGGAATACCGAACACAAGGAAACTAGTAAAATATATTATCTGTAAATGTCCAGCATTGAAGAGACTAAGACAAAAATATCTGAGCGATACAAGCCGTCCCTATCTTCGTCCCTATTGATTTTTCTTTCTGGTAACACTAAAGTCGTAGTTGATCTATGTAAGGCTCTTTTGAGCTAGTCAAAACTAATCAAATTTTAACTAACTTTAGTTCAAAAATACAATCAAAATAAAAACGTTTTCATTCTTCAATAATTCTCATAATTTCTTTCTTAAGTAGATAAATATTTATTAACTAATGGCTTGTCTACTGATGTAATATCATTCCTGACTCATTGCACAAGTTAAAATCATCTTTTCTATACTCATCACTTAACTTTCTTTTCTTCATTACATTATTCTTTCATGCCAAGTTCCACCTTTTAGTTTTATTCCACTTAACATAATAGATAGGATTGTTCCCATACAACAAGTAAAACAACATCAACTTTCCTAAATACGCAAAATGGAGTATATATTCTTTCTGTATTCTTTACGAGGAGTTTACAAGCCAAACCAATTGAATCTTTATTTCTTTATCTTTTCTGATATTCATATAATTAGTTACTAGTCATAAGAGAAGAAATTCTTTTAAATTTAATAAAAATTTAATTGTTAGAAAACTCATGTATTCTTACTCGGTATTAAAAAATTTTACGACGAATGAAGCACATCTTATATTTGATATATGTCTTTCTAGACATCAATCATCTTATAAATATATTTGCAAATATTTTTTGTTTATCTAATCAACAAATGAATAACCGCTGACTTCGTTATATTGTCCCCATATTGAATAAATGTTTAAAAATAGTTTATGTATAACATAAATTTACATATATAGTTTACAACTATGTGGATCGAATTTTATATAAAATTATTTTTTTAAATGTAGCCAGAATTTAAAGGTAAACCTTCATTTGCTCTAATATTGAAATAATATTCATCATAGTTTATTAGAGTTACGATACCTTGAAATTTTGTTTAACAATAACCATGATACCAAGTTGACTCTTTATATTATAACACACCTAACTATGTAACTCAAATGATATAAACTAATTCATAGCTTCAAAGCTCTTATTAGAAACTAGTTTGTCACAAAAAACCTAAAAAGAAATAGGAATAATATACTTATAAGATAAGTAGTTACATATAGCCAAGTACAAACAGAGAGAGGTGCTTGAGAGACTGAAGCCTCCGAAATAAACTGAAAAACTATATAGGTATATGCCATATGTACATTCATTATTAATACATCAGCACATGGTTGCATAGTAAACAAAATTATAGTTGGTCCAGTATTTTATCTAAAAGACCCCCGAAGTAAAATTCTGGTCTTCTTGTGAATGTGAAGCAAGTCAAGTGCTTGAAGGACTGAAGCCTCCGAAATAAATCGGAAAACTATATAACATATATACCATATGTACATTCATTATTAATACACCAGCACATGGTTGCATAGTAAACATAATTATAATTGGTCCAGTATTTTATCTAAAAGACCCCTGAAGTAAAATTCTGGTCTGCCTGTGGATGTGAAGCAAGTCATTGGAGGTACGTATAATACTTTATCCAATGATTTATAATGTACTGTACGTACAGATTCACTATGGCCATTGCAAAGAAATTGTAACTATCATTGAGCTAAATGAAACGATTTTAAATGTAATCTTATCGGTAGAGCTATCTGGGTCAAAAAAGAGTAACAAACCAATTAAAGAAATGATTAGGTAATACAATAGGTTAGGTACTTGAGAACCTAAGATCAAAACTGTAGGATTATCGTATGAAACCAACTAAAGAAATAATTACGTAATACAATAGGTTAGGTCCTTATGAAACTAAGTTCAAAACAGAAAGGATTAGGTTCTCTTTGAATGTTCCACTTAAAATATGATGATAAAGCAACTTATGCTTTTAACTATATAGTTATCTTAAAGCTGCACCTATGACATTTTTAAGATAAGACTTTTCTCTTTTTAGAAGAATATAAGCTTGTTGCATATAATTAATAATAATATCAAAAATGTATCTAATTTTAAAAAGTCTTCAAGTAAAAGCAAATATGAGAACAGAAGAAATAATACAATTTTTAATAATAATGATAATGTTATAGACTATTTCCGTGTTACAAAAAAAAATCAAATAAACTACTATTTATTAAGATCGAATTTTAGTTTAAGTTCACATTTAATGCGATAAATTTCAAAGCTTCGTCAAGAACAGAAACCACAAATATGTTAAGGCAGCATAAAAAAAGCCTATCACATATCGCACTTCATATGTGTGAACAACTATCACAGACGAAATAAATTCAATCTGTGCTGATACTAATTTGTGCGACGTTTTAAATTGGACCACATAATATATACTTATGTACACACATTTATCTGGAATAATGTGTAAGCCTCCAGACATTTATGTAAAGAGCCATTCTACGTCTCACTGAATCATAAATCAGTAACGAAACAGAGGCACAATAATAATTTTAGTTTTATTTTGTTCGTGAGATAAATATAATGTATATGCGATATATATTAGATTTAAATAACGCAGAAGAATGTGTTTATCATAAATATAAATAAACTATATAATATATAAATTTAAATATGCTTATATGTTTGTAAATATTTTTTGTTCACCAAAATATTTTCAAAATGTACTTAACACATAGACGCTGGTCTAATCCCGTTTCCAGTAGTGCTTATATGCAAATCTCTAACTTAAATTTTGAAGTGAGTGCGAGTTCGTTGGTTTGGGTTGTTTTCAATAAAAAGTTTTTTATAATAAATAAAATAAAATATATTGTTTAATGCAGTAATGAAATTTAAAATTTGTTTTAATGCAAAGATATTTTTTTATCGCAGAGATAAGTGATAATACCATATATCAATCAAAACACACAATTGTGATTTACTATTAAAGGCGCCAATTAAAAATAAATTGATAACAACGAATATATATATAATTATTAAAATATTTAATATAATTAAATATGATTCAATTAAAAAGTGAATTAAAATGCAATGGAATATGAGTCACGATATTAATACGAGTAGTGTGAGAAATGAAACTAATCAATTCAAATGTAACAAGTGCCTTACTTTTTATATTTTCATATAAGAAATGAATAAAAACAATGTGAATATAATGTTTTATTTTAATTAAATTAAAAATGATTGCTTTTTACTGTGTAACAAAAAAATTTAAATATATATACGATCAACAATAACTAACCCTACTGTATATAATTATTGTGCGTCAATGATCTAAATTTGATACTTTATTATCGAAATTATTACAATTTAAATGTTTATAGCATAAAATTAATAAGATCAAAATATTAATATTACTTAAAAATAAATATTAAATTTAAATTAAAATGTAATTTAATTTTAAACAAATCTAACACATGATATAAAATTTAAAACTAATATAATTTAGTGCAACATTAGGTGCTAACCTAATGTGACAACTGAGTCATCACGTGAGTCTGCGTTTGAAATTTGGCAGGGTTTGAATCTCGACATTTGCAGTCCAAAAATTATACACCAACAGTTGAAACCAAAATAAATATCTTTCGTTTTTAAATGATTACGTACATCTGCCAATACATGAAATAGTGTAATTTGGTCGACTGAAAAACTTCACTTAAATTAAAAGAAATTTGTGTAATTAAATTTATTTACTACAATATTTCCGCTTTTTGATCCAAATAGATTCTTGAATAAAATAGAATAAGGAGTTATACATTTAAGAAGAAATTGCATCAAAAATTATATCAGAATTGTACGCGTATTGAGTCTGTAAGAAGAAAAAATGCTGCAGTGATGGTAATCTGTAGTTTATAATAGTAATCTGTGATTCATGTTGTTAGTTTGAGTGAAATCAAAAACATATATCAGCCTGTTTTTGCTAAAATCACATTTCACGTACTATTTATTAATACAACCGGGCCCAGTTGTATTAATCGGTCCAGTTGTATCAGATATATGAGTGTGTCAGAACTACAACAACTGAAAATGATACTTTAGCGGTGTTAATGATCGGCAGTATATAATGGTAGTCTATGCTTTATGTTGCTTAATGAAGTAAAAAATTATATTAACAACATACTATTGCTTATTTTTGCCCAAAACTATTTTTCAAACACTATCAAGAATTATTAAAGAATACACATAGGGACCTTGAGTCCATT